TCATCATCCGTAATCTCAACCACAACCTCACTCTCCGCCCTCCCACCCCGATGTACAACCAACCCCTGCAGCTTATGCACAACAGTACCAGGGTGTTCGCGCATCGCTAAATCGCGGAGTGCGTTGACGGAGCGGGTTTGCATGATGGAGAGCCAGACGGAGCGCGTGGGGTACGGGGTTGAGGAGTGGGCGTGGAGGCGGAAGTAGACGGGGAGGGGCGTGGGGATGGGAGGGGTGGCGGGGTAGTAGGGTTGTTGGTAGTGGTGGTTGTGGTTGTGGTTGTGGTTGTGGTTGTGCTGGTGGTTGTGCTGGGATGCTGGTTGGTAGTGGGAGGATTGGTAGTGGTGTTGAGGTGGGTAGGAGGGGATGGGCAGGACTGCGGCGTCGCTGGCGGCTAGGAGGAGAGATGGGTCGATTTGGAGATCTGATGCTGTGGATAGGGAGGGCGCGGCGGTGTATGTAGTCTGTGTCCTTGCCTTTGGACCGGCACTATTCTGTTGTCTCCCCTTATTTCCCATGCTCGTCGGATGCGTAGCGACGACCGGCGGTGCAGGCCCTGGTCCCGGGCCCTGATGAGCCTGTTTCTTCTTACTGGGATCTTTGGAGGTCTTTTCCTGCTGTTGCCGCTTCATCACGTCTCGGGCCAACACTTCGAGAGCTCGTAACTTCCTTGCGTATTCTGGATCGTCTTCCCCTTGTGCGAGCGCCTTCACCAGGAACTCGGACTCGTTGACCCACGCTTGCTTCAAACCCGTCCAGCGTTCCTCACCAGCTTCATGCTTGTTCGAAAAATGAGCTGCTTTCAGCTTATCGGCAAAGGCGCTTCGGACGTGTCGCGTCTGTTCGGGATTGAGACCAAGGAGGTTCTTTGCGTCAGCGAGGGTCATGCGTGAAGTCATCGTTCGTAAGCGCTTTGTAACGTCCAGACAGATAACGTCGAGTGACAGCGCTCTCTGACCTTTTGGACGGAAGAGCGCGTCGACGTTCTGTAGCACCTCTGGCTCTTGTTGGAAGACTTGAGCCAAATGCGTGTCGTCTCGAATGAGTTGTTGTACAATCTGCGCCCACTTCTCCGGACCGGCAATGGTCTTCTTTGTGACTTCCTGCTCCTTGCATATCTGGAGAAAGCTCTCTCGAACCTGGCGGTACATATCGTTGTCTAGACCGAGGTAGGCTTTCGCTTCGTCGATGGTGGTCTCGGAAGGGAATCGAGGAGGTTCGCCGGGGGCGTCGGCGGGCAATCCGGCCCACCCGCGTGTTCGACGTCTTCGCTTGCGTGTCCGCCATTTCTCGTCGCTCTCGGTCTGAAGCTGCTGTTGGCGCAGTTGCTTCCGTAGCACTTCCTCCTCGCTCAAGCCTGTGATGTCGGGTTCGGGGAGTATCGGTCGCGCCTCTTCCACAGATGCCCCAACCTCCTCCCCTTCTTCCTGAGCAGCCGCGGCCTCTTCTTCGCTTCCATCGTCGCTCGTAGATTCCTCTGCCAATATCGCGTTACCAAGCTGGTTGATCAAACCTCTCCCAGGCACAACCTTGGCAGGCTTCTTCTTCGGCCTCTTTTGTATCCTCCCTTCATCAGCCTTTGTCTTCTTCGACCTAGAAACGCTTTCTCGAAGCAAGAGCTTGAGCCTCAGGCGCAAGCGCAGCAGTTCGCGGTCGTTGATTTGAAAGCCCTCAGCCTGTAGCGTATCCACCATGTCCTTCTGCGTATAGTTCTGTTCCCATAGTTGCTGGAGTCGCGCGACGAGGGCCGTGTTCTTGTGCGCTGGATTCTGCTTCGAGGGGAACTCCCATCGCTATGACGTGATCAGTCGGGGATTCGCGGAGGAGGATGGAAGTTGTGCGATAGCGACGCACCTTGAATTGGGTCTGGAAGGCACGCTTGCTGAAGTAACAAAGTCAGTGTTGACTGTTCTAGATATCTTCGCCAAACACTAGATTGCGAAATGACGGTGAGCGAGTACGGCGACCCATATGTACTCTCCCGCGCAGCGCTTGCATACCTTGGGGTGAATCCTCGTATCTCAAAGTACGACATGACCTCTTCCAGACTCCTGCGCTCCTCGACATAGAGTTGATAGCATAGCGCCTCTTTGTCGTCCCAAGAATACACCATCCTTGATCTCGTATCGCAGTATTTGGTGGAGGCTTGCGTGAACTGCGCAACTGGTTTGACTGGCGAACGCGACGCAATCGCCAAGACTTTCGGCCTCGGCTGATGATGCCCCGAACACGTGGACCGAACACGGCTCACTCATACATCGCACCTACCGAACCAGATTGCGCATAGCGGCATGTATATTATGGCTTCCTGCGTAGACGGTGCTATCGGACGAATTATTCCTCACCGTCTTCCAAGAGACTCAATACCCCCAAGCAGGCCACCCTGAGCCCCTCAAATACCGCGATAATCCATCTACCATACCCCACATCACACAGTGATACACCTACGAGCACAATGTCGCACGCCCGCAAGAACAGCCTGTGGACGCCCACCACGCCGACAGCGGCGCAAACCCCTCAGCTGCTGTCTGGCAAGTCCATGATGATCACCGGCGGCGTCACTGGCATCGGCCGCGCCATCGTCCTAGGATATCTCCAACACGGCGCAAACGTCGCCGTGAACCACTTCGGCGACGACAAGTCCACCTCGCAGTACCAATCCCTCGTCGAGGAAGCAGCCTCGAACCTACAAACCAGCAAAGAAGAAACAGAAAAGAGACTAGTAGAAGTACCCGGCGACGTGGGAAACCCTGAGACAGGCAAGAAGTTGGTAGATGCCGTAGTACAACGATGGGGACGATTGGACGTTGTGATAAGCAACGCTGGTATCTGCGAGTTCAAGGAGTTCTTAGAGTACGTACCTGCGCTCAGCAGCAACCCTTGAAGGATGCAAAACTAACACCCGTCTGCCAGGATAACACCCGACCTCTGGAACAACACCCTTACCACCAACCTCACCGGCGCATTCCACACCATCCAAGCTGGCGCAAAGCAAATGTCCACCCAGTCCCCTCCAGGCGGCTCTATAATCGGCATATCCTCCATCAGCGCCCTCGTCGGCGGCGCATACCAGGGCCACTACACGCCCACCAAAGCCGGTGTCCTGTCGCTAATCCAATCCTCCGCGTGCGCACTCGGAACACACGGTATACGGTGCAATGCGCTGCTACCAGGTACAATCAAGACGCAGCTCAACGAGAAGGATCTCGAAGACGAGGGGAAGAGGAAGTACATGGAAGGCAGGATACCGCTGGGAAGAACGGGTGTGCCGAGTGACCTTGCTGGTCCAGCCATCTTCCTCGGCAGTGATTTGAGTAGCTATGTGAACGGCGCGCAGTTGCTAGTTGACGGAGGCTTATTCGTAAACCTCCAATAAAGATAAACAGTCTCGTCAAACCCAAATGTAAACAAAGGACATCATATTATTCGTCTTTCACCACGTCAACTGCACCTCTAAGCGCCTTATCCCCGCCACCGCATGTAGTACATCCCCTCTAATCCTCTCCGCAGCCTCCCTCTCCACCCCCTCCATAAACACCCTAACCCCCTCATTCCCTTCCCCCACTAACACACCAGAGCCAAGCACATCCCTCGCCTTCTTCAACCCCACCCTATCCCTCCTCGTCTCCTCCCGTAACACCCAATACGTCTCCGGCGCCATCCCATGTAGCTGTGCACCCCGTACATCCATCCCTCCTATCGTGTCAACTAACACTACATCCATGATCTCAGGTAACGGCATCGGTGTTGCGGTATTCTGGGGTATAGGGTGGTAGGTGCAGGGGTTGCGGCCGCAGGGGATGCAGGCACGGCAGAGGGGGCAGGTGTATGCCTGGTGGCATTTTTGGAGCCAGGACACGAGGCAGGGGGTGCAGAAGATGTGGGCGCAAGGGGCGCGTTTGGGGATGTGTGTGGTAGGGTCGAAGGGGCATGTGCAGATTGGACAGCAGGAAGGAGGGGAGGAGGGAATAAAGGCTTTTTCGAGGCGGCCTAAGGCGCATGTGAAGAAGTGTAAGGCGTCTGGGTCTTGCACTAGATTCGCTGGCGTGTATGCGGTTTCGCGCCATTCTTGGCCTGCTGTGATGGCGCTCTTCACGATTTGTTCTACCCCTATAGCTGGTTCCTCGCGTGCCTGGAGTTCTACAATGCGCAAATACCGATACTGTGCCTCTGTCTGGCGCTGAGGATGTTTCAGCGTCCCTTCTTTCACCCACTCTCTGAACGTCTCTTGCTCGTAGAAAGAAGGAAAGTTTGAGTATAGTTCTTGCAGTGTATCATTCTGTGCCAGCTCAACAACTGCGGGGTTGCTGGCTTCTAGAGACTGGATGAGGGAGGTGGTGAAGGTTTGGAATGTTTGCATGGACTGGATGTATGGGTCTGACAGGGGGGTAAGGGGTGTGATGAAGGACTTGTGGTGGCGAAGGTCGAAGATGATGGTTTCGACGGAGGACATCTTTTCGATGTTAAGGGGTTTGGGTTCTGGGACTGGGGTTGAAGGAGGGACTACGAAATCGGCCATTAGAAGGAGGGTGTGAAGTTTTGGTCGATTGGGTTCGCGGGATTTGGAAGGGTAGGAGAAGTTGGGTAGATGAAGCTGTGGCGACAATGTGTATGTTACGCTGTGAAGTGATATTCAATGTTGGGTACGAACTCCTGGGCCTTTGAAATTGCACTGTGACCGAGTCAGTATCCTTGAGAGGTGTCATCTTGTTATGATGCAGATCAGTTAAGGTGAATACATTAAGGCCACCATACGTATGATAGCCCCCGATACGTGATACCTGATAAGTCCACCTGTTTTCCTCCTAAGACAACACTCATCACGCCAACTCCATCGCTATGATACCCATCCCACACCTACAAGCCATAGATGCGACTGTACGAAAACCGTGAACACCCTAGTATGCGAATATATACCGTATCCTCAAACGCCATCAACGACAGCGTCAAGAACGGATACCTCGATCAAGAAACCTGTCAAATGTTAGAACCTGTCCGGTTCATTCTTCAAAACGAATCCTATTCAAGAGGGAGTGCCTGCTCTGCGCGAGCATCAAGGGGGGTTGGAGTGCAGTTACCTCAGCAATGTTCTGGCGCTCGATATAGCTCTCCTGCTTTACATCTCTACCGACGCGCCAGTACGAGTCGGTGTAGTCCGCGCAGTTCATCTCGCGGAGAAACTGCTCGTCGTGCGTGATGACCAGCAGCTGGAAGTTGGCCTGCTTCCTGCGGCTCTGGATGATCTGAGACAAGGACTCGGCGAGACCCTTGATGTTCTGCTGATCCAGGTTGGTGGTGGGTTCGTCGAGCGCGATGAGACCGCAGTTTGTGCCGAAACATTCTGCGAGCGCGAGGCGGATGACGATTGAAGCGAGGACTTTTTGGCCTGCGGAACAGCGGCCTCGCATGTCCATCTCGGTGTCTTGCTTTACCATTACGACACGGTAGTTGTATGTCCGGTTACCTTTGCCATCGCCATCGGATACGATGCGGATAGCGTCCACGTCCGTACCTTGGTACGCGTTGCGCCACAGCTCAGCGAGAATGGTGTTGATCTCTTCCATCTTGAGCGTGTGATACTTCATGATTGCCTTGTCCAGAGCGCCAGCATAGCGCCCCAGGTCGTCGATGGCGGCTTTGGTAGTTTCGACCTTGATGTGAGCCTCGCGGTATTGCTCAGCCGCCTTTTTGTAGATTTTCTCATACTCCGTCATGAGATCCGTAAGCTGGTCATCCTTGTTCTTCATGTCGCGCTCCAGAGTTGCCTTCCTGAGATTGAGATCTCGTACTTGAAGATCCCAGTGGTCGGCTTGCTGCTCGTAGTGTGCCTTGTCACGCTCAGCACCGAGCTCTTCTAGCTTTCGGATCTCGACTTCTAGGCTGTCGAGGGAGCGCTTGGCTTTCCGATAGCGTAAATTCTCACTGATGGAGCGCTTGTTCGTTTCCGTGTCGCGCACCGTGTCTTCGAGCTTTTTGATCTTTCGAGTCAAATCGGACATGTCAGTTTCGATACGTGCGACCTCGCCTTGGAGATTCTCAATCTCTCGATGGGTACGTGCGAGCTGCTGTGGTCCACCACGACTAATATAAGCATCGATTTCCTCGTTCGCCTGGTTGAGCTGGCGCACAGTGTCGGATAGTCTAGCAGCTTCATCGTGAGCGCGTTGAACGCGATCGTTGCCACGGCGGTTGATGTCGTCGTACTTGTACTGCGCTTGCTCGATTTCGGGGTCGATGTTACTGATGTCCTGGTCGAAGCTGCGTAGGGCTTCACGTTGCTTGTGATTCTCCTGCTTGAGTTCTTCTACTCGATCGGCGAGATCCCGCTTCTCCTTCAGCTTTGACTGTGCGCTGCTCAGGTCCGCGTTGATGTCACGTACGCTCAGCTCAAGGGTCGTGATCTGATTACGTGACTTGTCTCTGGCAGCCGTAAGCTGCTCGAGCATTGTCCTAGCGTTGCGGCTATCATCAGACACACGTTGCAGATCGGTCTGAATTGCGTCGATGCCCCGAGAGAGCCCTGCAGACTTTTGTTTCCGTGCTAACTCTTTAATTTCTGCCTCAAGCTCCTGCGCTCTGCTATAGTAGGCAACAATGGTCTGTACCTCCTTTGACAACGACTCAACTTCTTGCTTCGCAGCCTCCAGATCGTGGATGACAGCATCCTGGTCTTCGAGCTGTTTGTTGAGAGCGTCGCGCTCAGCAGTCAGCTTGGTGAGGTTGGTCTGGAGTGCGGGAAGTTCGGTGTCGCGCAGACGAGTCGCTAGTTCATAGCTAGGTTTGGCCTTGCGAGCAGTCTCAAGCTTGGCCATGATTTCATCAACATTGTCTTCCTCCACATCCTCCTTCGCCTTTGCAATAATTTTCTTGAGTCCGCTGACAAAGCCCGCAGTTGTAAAGTCCTCATCGTGGTCATCGTGAAGAGTCCTCTTACAGAGACGGCACATGTTGTGTTTTTCGGCGTATTGCAGGCATTTGCTCATGTACTCCATCTGTGCTTCGAACTTGGCTTTGTCTGTAGATTTTAGCTCGTAATCATACTCCAGGTCTTGCAGAGTCTCGTCAAAATCGGAGATGTCGTCCTTCTGTATGGATTCTTTCACGGTCTTTTCGTACTTTTGGAGGTCGGCACGGTTCTGCTTCAATTGCGACCCCAAGCTTGACATCTGGTAGGTGACTTTGCCCAACTTGGTCTGCGCAATATCGCGGCGAGACCCAGCCTCCTTGACCTTGCCTGCCTTCTCTGCCAGCACCTGCTGGAAAGTCGTCTCTAAAGTGGCGGGGTCCCAGTCAGAGTCCACCAGCTGTGAAAGGCGCTCATTGTGAACCTTCTTCATGGTCGCCAAGCTGTGCTGCTGGGTTTGTAGCTCCTCTCGCTTGACATCGATAGCTGCAGACTCCCGAGCCTGCTTTGAAGCGTCACCAAACTCATTCGTCAAGCGCTCCTTCTGGTCTTCGAGTGTTCGTACGTTGTTGGACGCTTCGGATATGCGTTCGTCGTAGCGTTCTGAGTTCACTGCTGCGATTGCGTTTTGAAGCTGCTTTTCGACATCTCGCTTCTTATCTTGAAGAATGGCTTCGCTGCCCTCATCTGCCTTGATGTTGTTCATGGTCCTCTGGAGATCGGAGATGCGCTTGTCGTTGTTCGTGATCTGACTCCGCGCGGAGTCTTTGCTCTGGCTGAGTCCCGATTTACGTGTTTTGAGCTGATTGAGATTTTCCTGGGCTTCACGTAGGTTGCGTTGTGTCTCCTCCCGAGTTCGATCCAGAACCTTGTTCTGATCGCGAGACATCTTATTTAGGATCTGCTGGAACTCTTCCACCTGCTTCTCGGTGATGTCGTAATCGAATCCTCGCACAGCATGTCGCTTAGCGGCTTCCTTGATAGAGTTCTCGCGATGTTGGACCTGACGCTCATACTGCTCCTTTTGCGCCTCGTACTTGCCGATCTCGCTTTGCTTCGCTCCAAGGGCGTCCCTGTTGTCTTCGAGGTCGTTCTTGAGCTCAAGATACTGATTCCGGAACTCTTTGGCCTGAGTTGAGTATGTTGCGACGCGCTCTTCGTACTGATCTAGCATGTCTTGGAGTTCCTCGTCCGACTCAGCCAGCTCCTTGATGCTGTCTTGAAGCTCTGCAACATTTTCCCTGTTGATGTCTAGCGTCTGGCGCTTGGACTTCAGCTGTTCCACGATCTGTACGAAGCGCGCTTGGTGGTTGTAGGCGTCTTCATACTCCTGCTTTGCCTCAGTCCATTTCTTGTCGACGTTGTTGTAGTCCTCTCGCAGCGTCTCGATCTCGTCAAACAGTTTAGCTTGCCGCCTCTCGCTGTCCGCTGCGCGCGTCTTGTCCTCTTTGGCGTTGGCCTCGATGATCTTGAGCTGGCCCAGTTCGACGTTTCGGTCCTTCCGGATCTTTTTGATGTTGTCGATGGCTTTGGTGTATTTCAAAGCTTCGAAAATCTCATCAAACTTCTTCTTGAGGGTAGTCGCATCGCTCAAGGGCCACAGACTATCCTCTTGATGGCAGAAGATGACGTTTTCCAAGATGGCTTTGGATACACCGAGATACTGGGGGATGATCTGATCAAGCTCGGCGACACGGGTTGAGATGGAATGCTTTTCGCCGTCTTTGATCATGAGCAATGAGCCTTCTAGGGTCTTCTGGCTCCTCGTAGTCTTCTTGACGGTGATTTGCATGCTACGGGTGGCGACCATGCGGACACCAGAAGTAGAGCGGAAAGACAGCTTGACCTGCGCCACACCATCCTTCTCATTTCGGAGCGATGGGTCGTGGATGAAAGCGCCTCCAGTCTTGCTGCTTGACGGAAGCTCGCCGGTAGTCGCATACTTGAGAGATTCGATAATGGTTGTCTTTCCAGAGCCGTTCCAGCCGACGATGAGTGTAAGGGGTGCAGTGAACTGAATGACCTCTCCTTTTTCTGGACCGAAAGAGCGAACGCCCTGGATCATCAGGCGATCGACTTTCGACATGATGGCGGTCCGCGCTGCCGGCGCTGCTTCTTTTCCTGGTGTCTGTGAGGCTGCACAGCTGGTGATGGGGATCAGCTATTCGTTGTCGTACAATTGAGCAGGCGGATGTTGGAATTGCACCCCGCAGCTGGGTTGATATAGTAGCGTGTTGTTTGCTGCCTGTCAAACAGGCGCGGTAGCCTGGACGCGTTGACTAGCGGCGCGGTGTCACGTGCAGAAGAGGGCCGTGCGGGTTGGGCTCACAAGCGCAACACTGTTGTCGTCATGCTAAAGTGCGGATGGGCATGCACAAAACATAGAAATCCCATCACGTCCTCGGGGAAGCTGCCCGCGCCTATCACCTGCGGCTTTATTGCACGACATCATATGCAGCATCGTGCATTTGAGACGCCATGGCGCAATATCAAAATGGCGGTGCTGAGGTACGCTGACTGGCCCTGCATCCTTAGTAAATCTGAACACCTGTCTCATGATTGTAGATGATGGCCGGAATGCCTATGCACCCCCAGACGCAGGAGTTTAACGGGCTGCCCATGGACGATGGCATGCAGTCGATGGATCTGGATATGGGGTCGCTGGACGGAGCCGAGGGCGGCCAGAACGGCGGATTCTCCTTTGCGGATCCACAGATGCAGGCCGCGAGTCTACCAGCCAGCAGCACCATGGGCGACATGCAGATGACAGGCGCAGGCGCTGGGCCTCTACCGACGGGCTTCGGCGCCCCCAACATGAACCCCTCTGGCAGCACCCTGACCGAGTTCACCAAGCGGCGGAACTGGTCGCAGCGCGTGCTGGAAGAGCTGCGCGACCTGCTGCACATACTGACTCCCGACGGCAGGGTCCTCTATGTCTCCCCCTCATGCAAGGCGCTCACGGGCTGGGACCCTACGCATGTCATGGGCCGCTTCATCAACGAGTTCATCCACCCCGACGACATTGGCATCTTCGTGAAAGAGTTCAATGAGTCGATCGCGTCCGGAAACCCGCTCCGCTTCTTCTACCGCTTCCGCAAGACCGACGACACATGGATCATCTTCGAGTCGCACGGCCACCCGCATCTCAGCAGCGACCAGAACTCGTTTGCGCCGCCGAACACCATCAACTGCCGCGGCTTCTTCATGATGGCGCGCCCCTACCCGACCAAGAACGCCGCCCTCCTCGACTCCTTCCTCGAACACAAGATAGAGAACGAGCGCCTCATGAAGCGCATAGCCGAGCTCAAGCGGGAGGAGCAGGATGAGCAGGACGACTGGGCAAAGAAGACGGAAGGCGCCACCACCTCGGTGACTCCTTCCGAATCGCATGTCACGCAGAACATGAGCCAGGCAGATGCCGCGTCCTATGCGCAAATGCCGCCGCCAGCCAAGCCAGTCATCTCCAACACCGCCCTCACCCGCCAGAACCTCGACGAGGCCCTCGCCGCAAGCAAGCCCGACAGTATCAACGATAAGATGATGCGGTATGAGGGCGCAAATCATCTAGAAACAATCGAGATGTTGACCGGCCTCCGGTACAGGGACGGCGAGCGCTCACAGGGTATAAGTACCGGTGACGCCAGCCCGAACCTCATCCGTGGCGATGCAGGCATACAAATATCGCTAGACCGCGATGGCCGAAATTCTTCTGACAAGAAGAAGAAGCTCAAAATCGCCGACGAATACGTTTGCACAGACTGCGGCACATTGGATTCGCCCGAATGGCGGAAGGGTCCAAATGGGCCGAAGACGCTGTGCAATGCATGCGGATGTAAGTCGTTCATTCCAGAAGCAAGGGGGTATAATATGCTGACTGCGACAGTGCGCTGGGCGAAGAAAGAAAAGAAGAAACAACAAGGTCCTACTAGTATGCCAAGTGGAAGTGGCATGATGCATACACCATCCATGCCAATGCACAGCAGTACGGGCTCCAGCTAAAACCAACATGTTGTTGTTGTCGGTTGCTATTCCTTGCGAGTTTTACACGGCGTTTTCTTATGAGTCTCTCTTCTCCATTTTTTCTGGGCTTCAAGGTATCAGGCATATCAACGGCGTTGCATTTGTGGCTATTCACGAGCCTTTGGTCGGTTTTCCTTACGATCAGCATATGATTCCCAGGGCCATAGATAGATTCGGGCTGAGCAACGATACCACTTCTCTGTAGCGGAGATTGCAGATTGCAACTATCAGAGATGCATATCTGATCGCTCCACCATCGATTTGCATCACGAGGCTGGTTTGATAATGGTACCAGAATTTCCCGAGCACATGCTCCTCATCGTCTTCCGCACGAAGCTCTCAACTTCAAGGCGTTTCGCCTTAACCGCACTCCTCATCCACGATTCACACCTGACAGAGTTGTTGTGTAACATCTGGGATTACCGTTTGCGCCACCAACTTGTCGATCAATTTGGCGGATACAACAAGCGATGCTGCCTTCTCGACAGTCGAGTCATCAATGTCCACGAAGAGCCCTGAAGAGAAAGCCTCTGAAAATTCACCGCTAACGTCAGATTCGGATACGATGATCTGAAAGTTACACCGCAGAAGATGGGTGACCAGCATATTCTGCGAGGAACGTTGATCATCTATTTTCGCACCAAGTTACCCACACGTCAGGCATTCAGCACTGATGGAACTCTCCGAAGGATCTACTACGATGTGCAGCGGCTCAGCGGTCGTCATTTCTCTGATTCGTTCGTACAGACTGTTCGTCTAAACATGCATCAGAATGTACGAGTCAGCCAATCAGACCACAAAGCGTGGGCGCTAGAAGCAGTAAAGTTGGCGTGAGGCGCAGCCCCGTGGACAGCCCTACCCCATCTTTCGACATCCAGGTACGTCTTTCAAGATAGGCGAGCTGCTGTGTACAGCGTCTGTCTTGCGGTGCTGGCATGGGTTAAATGCCTATGACTATGATCGAGATGACTTCAACGTCATTCAGCTAGGCTGTCTAATGGGTAGCAACTCCCATGAGGCGACCCGTAGGAACAACACAATCTCCACAGGGCGTAACGACGCGTTGAAAGCTGCGCAGATCCATGCTGGAGTCGTCAGTCCAGATAAAAGAAGCATCAAAGCTATGAAGTAGGCGGTGCATGTACTAGTGCTACCGTCTTTCTGGGAGGCCTCATCTTTCCGTATAAGAAAGGGCAGTACTAACTTTCCAAGATGCACCACTTCATCTACAGGCTCACGAAGAGCTCTCCTTTACAACAAGACTATCATCTCTTCACCAATCCTGTCATATACCAGCCATGTCAAAGATGCTACTTCCGGTAGTCGCAGTATTCTCCCTGCTAACCCCCACCGCGCTCTCCCTATGCCCACCACCAGGTGCAATTCTTCCACCACCATCACTCGCTGCCCATACCTCCAACTTCAGCATACCGGATGCTGTTTTCCAAAACTTTAGTTTCATACAAAACACTTCGTTCGCGATCCAGGCTTCTATCGGCAACGCGACGGTCTTCCAATATGAGCATACAGCCCCTGTCCGTGAAGTCAATCAGTCGCTCTTCGACACCAAGTTCCGTATAGCTAGCGCAACCAAGCTAATCACGGCACTTGCTCTGGAGTTGAGTAAAGACAAGATCAGCTTGGATGATCCGATTACAAAGTTCATTCCTGGTCTGAACGAAGAATACTACGGAGATGTAACGATCAAGTCCCTAACCGATCACACTTCCGGTCTCGGTCGCTTCGTACGTCCTCCACTCCTCCAGTCCCGCACCCACACCCTGAACTAACACACCACCTCAGGGCTACACAACAGACATAGCATTCGGCCAGAACGCAACCGCTCTCGGGCTCCCACCACTCAACAACACCCTCCCAGGCTGCGACCCCATCCCCGGCGGCCAAATGTGCACGCCCCAAGAACTCCTCGACGAGTTCAACGACCCAGTCTACGCCCCACACTCCCCTTCCTCCCGCGCCATGTACAGCAATATCGGGTACATCCTCCTCGGCAAAGCCCTCTCAGCAGCCCACAACACCACCTACGAAGACGTGATCCAAAAGCTCATCCTCGACCCCGTCGGCATGGCAAACTCCTCCTTCTCCGTCCCCTCAGACGACGGAACTGCCGTCCTACCCCGCCGCCCTGAAGATGCCTCATGGTTCGTGGCGCCCTTTGGCAACCTGGACCCAACAGGCGGCTTGTGGTCTACACCCAACGACCTGCTCACCCTGCTTCACGCGCTCAAGAACGGGGAGCTACTCAGCAAAGTAGCATTGAGGAAGTGGATGCAGCCCACCACCTTCCTCCGGTCTCTCCAGCAATACGTCGGTGTAGCATGGGAAATCTTCCGTATCGACGACCTTCCGCTCGAGTTTCCGCGCGCGATCGATGTGTATACAAAATCGGGTGGTGTACCGGGCTATGGGAGCTATCTTGTGTTGATCCCGGAATACGATATCAGCATTACGATTAACGCGGCGGGGGGCGAGACAAGTTATTCGAGTATTGAGCTACTGGACGCGGTTGTGAGTGCGTTGGTCCCGTGGGCGGATCAACTAGCACGGAGGCAGGCGGAGGCGAAGTACGCAGGGAAGTATGTGCTTGAGACGGCGTCTTCGAACGACACGCTCGTTTTGTCTTCGACGGCGGGTCCGGGTTTGGCTATTGAGGCGCTGAACGTCAATGGCGTTGATATCATTGCTGCTTTGGCTATGAAGCAACAAGTCCCACTGGACAACTTTAGCGCGAGGCTGTACCCAACTGATCTAGATTCTCTGGGTACGCAGAGCGAGAACTGGAGGATGCTGCCTGATCAAATCAGCCCGGCGAAGAAGCTGTGGGCGGGGCTGGAGTGTATGAGTTGGAATAATGGGGATTGGGCGAGGTATATGGGGGAGCCGCTTGATACGATTGTGTTTCATGTGGATGCCGAGAGTGGGAAGGTTAGGAGTGTGGAGTTGCTTGGTTGGAGGGTGAGTTTGGTGAAGGTGGATTGAGGTGTTTGGCTATAGAGTTTTGGATTGTAGCCCGTGAACTGAGGTTTCGATATGATTCGAGATGTC